TGCAGCGATTCTTCGAGTGCTGAAAATAAATCACCAACTGTAAGCACAGGTGATGGGATTCCCTCATTAGTGCAGCCTACTCCTGGAATTCAATCTGGCTGGGTTGCGGTTCCTGGTCAGGTATCAATGGCAGATATTGTGAAAATGGGAAGGCCTCAGAGTAAGGCATCTGGACTACCTACCCACACTGTTAATGAGCGGCATGGATGGTCACCTGCACACAATGATATGCATTCATCTGAAAATAGTGTTCACAAGGTGTCGGAGATGCACAATGAACCAGAAGCTTCTGCAAGTCATGTTTATTCCAATGACTGGCCATCAATTGAGCAGCCATCTGGTGTTAATGTGTCATCTTTTATGGAGGCACCTACAGATCCTGAGTTGTATGTGAACTCATCAAGCCTACCTTTAGTTAGAGAAGATGACCACGTGAGGTCCGAGCCACATGAAACTCAGTCAGAAGAGGATGATCTTGTTGAAACGCTTAACGAAAGTCAAGTTGGGCCTCCTTCTGTATCCAGTAGACATATACAGGAAGATGGCACTGGGGGTTCCTCACTATTCAACAATGATCTGTATGAGAATATTAGCTCATACCAGTCTCATAGACACACTTTTGAGCATAACGAAGGCAGGCACTATACTATCTGTTTACTTGCTTAATGCACATTACCTTTGATTAGTGATGGGATTTGGTTAATTTGTGCCAGCAGTTTGAGTGTTGTTCTGTGGTTATGTTTACATCTTTGATTTCTGAAATTCGTGTTGCTGTTGTTCCGAATGTGCGAATCTTAATTTTCTTCTGTGGGGCTTGTCAGTGCCATTCTTTTGCCTTGACACACTGGTTAACATGACACTGCCATTCATTTTTTCGGGTGATTCAATTTTATGCTCCACATTCTGTATTAAGGGCACTCAGTCATATTTGATACCTTCCCTATTATTCTGTTTCAGCGGAGGACAGTTCATCATCTGTCGCTGCAAATCTACAGCAATTGAGCTTGCAGAATGAAGATAAGGTCGGACCACCTGAAGAAGATAACCCTGTTGTGATAATTCCGGATCATCTTCAAGTTCATGCTCAAGACTGTTCGCACTTGAGTTTTGGTAGCTTTGGTTCTGGCATTGGTTCGGGTTTGTCTGTGCCATTTGGATCTAGCGCGTTGGCAAATGATCTGGAAGAGACGTCTGACACGGTGGAAGCCTCCACAGCAGGGCACTCAGATGCCAGGTGTGCTTCATTTTAGTGATCCATCATATACGCTTGTTTGCTTGTTGTCACTTCATAAACAGCTTAATTTGATACTCTTGCAGAGATCCCGAGTACTATGCGGATGAGCACCTAAGAAGTACAGCTGAAGATGATTTAGTTCATAGAACTAGTAATGTGAATGCTGGGAACTATGATTCTCCTGCAGTCCTGCAACCGCAAGTCTTACAGGAGGAAACACAGGAAGCTGCTCAGGGAAATCAATATGCGTTTGCCTCATCTACTCCTGGCTATAATTATGAAAACACTCAGCATTTAGACGCTTCCTTTAACAGTCAACAGCCGAGCTCTCAGATGCAGAACATTGCTGCCTTCTCAAGTGTCATGGTATGGACCAAAGCTTACCTTATGATTGTTGTTCTTAACAAGTACACTGATGCAATTGGATTCTTCATGGATTACGTTTCAAAGCGTATTGAGTAATGACTGGTCAAACTGTTGTGGTCTTATATTTCTTAGAAATAAGTTGAAAAATCTCTCTAGAAAATATTTGGAAGCATCATGGTCTTAATTCTTAACTACCTGGTTATGGAATGGGGTGCATACATAGCATGAAGGTTTGAGCTAGGGTGAGTACAGTTGATGGGGTGCAGGATTCACAGAAGCATGTACTTCTGGTAATGAGGTTTTTCTGATCGTGAAGTATGTGTGGATGATGGAGGCAGACTAATTCTACCTTATTACCTGGCATGTGATTTTGTCATTGAAAGGAATCATTTCTCTCTTGATGGCTTGTTGATGCTGTCAAGGTTTCAATAACGAAGTATTTTTTGCCTACTCTTAGATGTGTAGAAATGATTGCTTGGTTGCAAGAATCAAAAAGAAAAATGCATAATTTATGGAGTGAAATTCAGACAGCCATGTTGGGGTTGCAGGTTTTGGCAGAGATGCGGTTGCTTGACTCTTAAGGCAAATATTTGGTCTTTTTCTCATTTTATTTCCAATGATTACAGCAGGCCTATTCGAACTCATTGCCTAGTGCATTGTTGGCTTCAAATGTGCCAACAGGGAGGGAGCCTGATCTGCCATACTCACCTTTCCCAGCGACTCAATCCATGCCTACAAAGTATGGCACTACAGCCTCTTCTATCAGTGGTCCAAGCATGTCCATGCCTGAGGTATACTGTTGTGATTTTCTGTATATTGTATAGCGTAATTGTAGATATGTTTGGTCCAGTGTTACAATCATCCATAAGAATGTCAAATGAGCTATAACTTCTGGATGGTATTTGGACTACTCTTTAGACTAGAGCTGTCTTCAAGAAGATATATGACAGGGCGTTTGGAGTTAAAGAAAGAGTGTCTTAAAATTACGAACTTAAATAAAAACTTTTAGAACTACGACACCTTGAACTGACAATTATTTAAATCTTAAGGCCACCTTGCTCCAGAATTTCATATACAATTTTGCCCTTTATTACTAAATAAGCTGTCTATCAGTTGCTTTTTATTGCTAAAGAATAGCTCATATCCGATCAACTGAAATTTTGTTGAAACCTTACCGAGTACATTTTCCAATCTTTTGATGGAACTTCCGAGAAGAAGTCACTTCCTTTTAAAAAAAGCTTGAACAAACGCACCCAATGGTGTTATGTAACTTTTGAGATTGCTACCATACAGTTAAATGTGGTGAAATGTGAATGTATACATATGCATCACAAAATGTAAGATCTTGATTGAATTATGTATGTGGAAAAGCTTGGACGTTTTATTTGCTGATTGTTATCTATGTGCCTGTTTCAGGCTTTGAGAGCCTCCAGCATTTCCACGCCTCAGCCAAATCAACAACAATCACTTGGTGGTAGTGGTGGTGGTGCTGTTGCCACAGGACCTGCTCTGCCTCAGCAACTTGCCGTCCATCCATATTCACAACCTGGGCTTCCTCTGGGCCATTATGCGAATATGATTGGCTATCCTTTCTTGCCTCAGAGCTATGCATATATGCCATCACCGTCGGCTTACCAACAGACTTTTGCAGGCAATAGCAATTACCACCAGTCTCTGGCAGCTATGCTTCCCCAGTACAAGAATACCGGTTCTGTAAGCAGCTTGCCCTCCCAGTCTGCTGCCGTCCCGTCTGGATATGGGTTTGGGAATTCATCAAGCATTCATTCAGGAAACTTCCCTCTCAATCCCCCTGCTGCCCCTGCTGGCACAAATATTGGCTATGACGATGTGTTGAACTCGCAGTACAAGGACAGCAACCATTTGATGTCTCTGCAACAGCAGGTACTTGGTTCTCTGAGCTCCTGGATTGGTCTACTTCTTGTTTGTTCTCTTAGGTGCATAATAATACATTAGTTAGTGGTGGCCAATGGGGCTGGCTTGGTGGGTTTATTGTTTGGGTTCAAATGATAGATATGCTGAAACCCATCGACCCAAGCCATTTAGTAATCTAGTTTACCCACAATCGAATGACTTCGGGTCTAATTGATGTATGTAGTGGGTTTGGGTTGATATTTGCCACCACTCTAAATGAGTTCTACTGCTTTACTGGACATGATTGTGACGTTTGTCATGTTTCTTTATTCCGCTGAAGCTCAACTGATTCTGGCGTTGCCTTTATGTCTGTTAGAATGAAAACTCAGCAATGTGGATTCACGGTCATGGATCACGCACCATGTCAACAGCCCCTGCAAACTCATATTACAACTTCCAGGGGCAGAACCAGCAGCAGCAACAGCAACCCTCGGGGTTTAGACAAGGGCAACAACAGCCGTCACAGCATTATGGTGCTCTTGCGGGGTACCCGAATTACTATCATTCCCAGACAGGGGTATCCCATGATCATCAGCAACAGGGCATAAGGGATGGATCTCTTGGCGTCAGCTCACAAGGCCAGGGCCCGAAGCAGACCCAACAACAGCTATGGCAAAACAGCTACTAAAGGGTAATGCTACGTTGCCTTCCCTGCCATCACCTCGTGTTTTTTCAGGGTCTTTGTAGTGAGTTTGAAAGTGGCCAGAGGGCAATCCGAAAATAATAGATCGAATGTAAGATTTTTTCCTCCTGTTTTTCGGTGGCTGCTACTGCCCTGTGCCACAAGGCTGTACTCTCTGCATAATAGGTATCTCTGCTCTGGTTTAACCTTAGGAACAAGAAAGAAGAGTGCTAATCTCAGTGTTTAGTGGAGTACCCGCTTTCCGTTATCTGCAGTTTTTGTGGTTTTGTTCTTTTGATAGTGAAGAAACTTTGCTCTGCCTTGTGTAGTTGTGAAGTCTTAAGCTCCTCGTGATGGAAACCCTTTCCTTCCTACATGTGAACTTTTCAACAACAGTGGGTTGGAACAGGCTTTTCTTGATGGGTTTCTCCCTAACATTGTCTTGTAGTTCCAGTCTCTTGATGTGTGTTTTTTTTTTATGTTGAGAATGTAATATAGTAGAAGTATTGAGCGCTTGGTGCTAATTTGGTTCACTAAACAAAGTTAAGAAAGATTTCCTTTGCTTTATGTGTGGTTTGCTTTGTGGTGGTGCTCCCATTGTTATTCTCCCATAATGGCCAAATGATGCTCTACCGACTACCTTTCCCTTTTGTTAAAAAACTGTTTAGAATTTGTTGATTGATGACTATTGAGTAGTGACTGATACTTCCTAAATATTCGAAGGATGCTCAGCCTTAGACTGTTGGTGTTGTGAGGGTGCACCCTGGTGCTCCCTGTCTCTGTTGCACGGGTTTGGTTCGAGTTTGCTCAAACTGAATTTGTGAAAGCTGATGGCGTGTCAAGTAATACGCAACAAAATCTTTACTTTCATGACAAGCATGCAATGAATGCTATTGTTAATCTTCGTGAATTGCATGATTACTCTTCCGGGACTTGTTGTGTAAAGGGTCTGTTTGTTATACCCTTCACCAATATGGTACTGCACTTTCACTCTCGAAGGAAAGATTCGCTTCGCCATTAATGTTGTGATTCTGAAGTAGTCATGAGCTTCTAGGCAACAGAGTCGAGTGCAGTATAGCAATGGCTACGTCCCTACGTCCCTTTCGTTTTCCATAAATCGATGAGACCACACGATAATGCGAACCACTCAAAGGATACCATCCCTTCAGGAAACTTTGGCATTACATATGCTAAGCTGGTCCTACGGGTACGTCATTCCTGCAACGAAGGGGCAAATGTTGCTCCAAGAAACATGTTCCTATGCTAGCTGGGGAGTCCGTCCAGAGCATTCAGATTACAAACCGAAGTTCAATCCATCATATTATGTATAAGAAGAGAGACAGTAACTGCGCGTTGTACAAAGTCGAGTATCTTCATCATTTAAGAAGGGATTTCGTGATGTGTTCCCGAGCTGTGGCCAGCGCTTGAGCCAATGTCTGCAGAACCCCAAGAACACGAAGTAAACAGTTTGCACAGCCAAACAATTACCAATCTAAATTCTAAACACAGAAATTCAGGGGTCGAAGATGATACCTGCTCGGACAATGGAGCTCCCGAATCCATGCTATGACTAGCTACCTTGCTAGCAAGAACAGCTGGATCTGTTTCCAGAGGAACACTGCACAATCGAAGCGAGGAACAAAAAAGGAACACGGTTCTTACAATGGGTAAACATTTTGGAGCAGGGTTTGGGAAAAAACTCCAATGAATCATCTCATACCCGCCATCGATAGTTTCATCCAAGCACAGAAGGATGAGATCCAGATTCTCAAGCGCCTCCCTCTTCTCCACATTGCCTCTAAAGTTTGATCCAAAGAAACAATCAATCTCTGCTCTTTCTAACAATAGACTGACATAATTGGCCATAGCTGGGATTCTGGCAAGGATCAAGCAAGCAAGGAAGGATTTTATTTTTAGGACCTGAGTAGAATGCCGACCGCTTCGAAGAACCCCTGAAGAACTGAGGCCAAGATCACCTCGTTCTGATCTTCATCTCCTGTAACGAAGAAATGGAGATCGTCGACGAACTTGTACACGATCACGTAGCTTCCGATCATCGTAACTTCAACTGCACACACGAACAACAACCAAAATCGAGCCCGGCCATCGATTCAAAATCCATCAACAAGTTCGGAACAAGGAACAGACTGAAGCATATGTGGGACGCAGACCGACCTTCAGCACGGGCATTATTTGTTTTGTGAGTTTTGGAGAAGACTGTCTTCTCGAAGGCTTCTTTGGCGCCATTCGTCGGCCAATCCTCGTCGGAGTAGTACTTCACGGCGACGCGCTTGCCTTCGGAATCCAACACAAGGATGTTCTTCACTAGTGGACAGGCTTGCTGCAACAAAATGCCACCACACAGAAGCGTAAACCACGTTAATTCAACAACGGAGAGCAAGAAATCAAAATCAGAGATCCAGCTGCAACGGAGGTCTCCATAGCCACCACTCAAAACCTAATCGCCGCCATCATGCAACGAAAAAAAATCCGATCAGAAAGCAAGTCCGTCGGCATCGGATCGGACGACGGAGGCTTTTCTGAAGTACGATCGAGGAGGAATTCGGATCTGCATTGCCTAGATCAGCGATCAACGATTCACCAGATACCGATCGACGATCGTTGCAAGGGAGATCGAATGACTCCGACGCATTGCTACGTCAGTGAAAAGCATTTCGACGAAGCGCAACTGATCTCGACGGCGAAAACTCGAGAATGGAGAAAGGAAGTTTAAAATTCGAGAGAATGGAGAGGGACTGTACCATTTTTTCCGTCTTTCTGCAGAGAATTCCGATTTCTGAAGACTGGAGTTTAATTGGCTGGCCTCCTTCCTTGCCAGAGTTGCTTTTGGGTTTGAGAAAGACGAGCCGTTGAGTACAGTACAGAAGGAAACGATCCGCGCCTATGGAGCTCGCGCCGTCTTCTTCCTGTAGAATTACTGGACCTTCCCTTTGTCGAGTTTGGGCCTTTTTGCTACTGGGCTAAACTGAGCCTGGTACTTCCACAACAGGCCCAGCCCATGAAATTCGGTTGACTCACCTCTTAGCTGCAAATCCACTAATCCGCCAAAGCGACGGTGCCACACACTCCAGACATGAATCGGTTGTTTCTTCCGTCCCTGCGATCGCTCTTCATCCGGAAACTGCCATCTCCTCCTCTGCTTCAGGTATCTAATCGAATCCCTTCTAGTTCTCTTCTTCCTTCCGTTCCATTTCCAGGAATAATTCGAACGATCTCGTTTTCTTCAGGCTCCAGTAGCTGATCTACTCATTGGAAGCCATGGACGGTACTTCCTTCCCTAATCAATATGCACGTCTCTTTTGTTTTTTTATCCTGCTCCTTTCCGTTCCACTTATCGTATATCTGGGCATGAATTACTGGAAGCGGCGGCGAATTGAATTAGGGTCTGTTTTGAAGTACTGGAAGCGGTGACGAATTGAATTACTGGAGTTTGGCCATGGTGTGGTTGTTCGTGACTCCGTTTCTTTCATTTCTGTCATTTTGGGTGCTAGAATCAGTGTGCCGAAACGTGGTTACTCGGCAATGGTTTCGCTTTACATAATTTCGGTGCGCTGAATCTATGTCTGTTCTGAAATTGTGCAAGCATTTCTTGTCTTGTGAATAAGAGATTGTTTGGTGTCTGCTGCGTACAGCTTGAGCACTCAAGTGAGTGAGATTCCATGGGGTCTTGTGGGAGTGTCGTCGCCTAGGAAGCTGAGTTATGGATTTAGAGCGTTTTGCACCGTCGCAGGTGCGTCGTCATGAACCCTCTACCACCTTCCTACCTACTGTTCGTTGAGTCGAGTTCGAAATTTGTTTGTGATGATTTGACGATGCTTGAGTAATGAGTTCTGAGTTAAGGAAGAATCACCCTTGACACAAGAAACTTGAATCTCTGCCATTAGAAGTTTCCTAGGGCAGTTGGCATCTGAAGCAGTGCTTTCTAGCATTCTTTGCTTTTGTTATTATCAGTTCTTCGTTTCTGTATCAATCTCTTTAGGTGGATTCGTAGTAGCATTAACTTGTGATGCAGTATCTCGGTAGTTACAGATCTTTGATAGTATGTGATGCGGCTTAGTTTTCGTGATAGATTTGGTGACCAAGAAGTGTGTGCCATGTAACTCCAAGGACATGCGACCCATGACTGATGAAAGTGCTGCTGAAATGATGCCCAAGGTTTCTGTTTTTTCATGTTACTGGTCTTACTATCTCTTGCTGCTACCGACGATGTCAAAATTGAAAATTATTAACTATCCTTATTCCTTAGCTTGGTGATTTCACCGAATAGGTGCCCGGGTGGAACTTGGTCAATGAAGATGGTAAGCTGAAGCTGAATAGGTCGTGGAGAGCTAAGAGTTTCACCAAAGGACTAGAGCTATTTCAGCTTGTGGGGAATATTGCTGAAACTGAAGGTATTCAACTTATTTTGACTGGAAAATTTTGGTTGTAGAGCCTGAAGGATTGCATTTGATAATATATTGTGATTAATCCAGGCCATCATCCAGATCTTCATCTTGTTGGATGGAATGATGTTAAGATCGAGATATGGACACATGCAGCCGGTGAGAATTTCCAGTTCCATATATATCAACCTTCTATAGCAATCTTACCATTCTTAGAGAGGCAAAACCAGGAACATTTGCTGTCATGAATCCGGCAAATTTGCAAGGATAGACTGTAGAGTCTCTCAGCCTCTGAACACAAATATATAGCTAACAGTTCAATAGTGCGAATCTACCATCGGTTCTCATCAAGGCGCTATTTGGTCTTATCCTTACATTCGGTTTTAACTTGCATTAGACTTTCTTCCATTCGCGGTTTATGCTTGCACAGGGGGGTTAACAGAGAACGACTTCATACTGGCTGCGAAGATCAATCAGCTCGACATGCATAACCTACTCCGAAAGAAACCTTCTGCTTCCTGAGAGATGGCTACAGAGATAGATTTGCAGCATTTGTATGCGGAGTTTCATTGTAGCTCATATGTTTTGACCTGTGTTTTATGTACATCAGAAACCAGTAGAACTACGCCTCTGTTCCGCTGTATTTGCCACCTTTTTCACCCTCGCGGAGAATTTTATTAATCGAATGAAATATTTTTAGTGATGAACATGAAACAATATAGTAATTAAGTGATCAAACCTACAATTTACCGCAGAAAAAAGTAAGCTTGACGTGGGATTCGCTGCGGACGATTGCACAAGACAAGCGGACTTGCTTGAGGCCCACTAATTTTGGGCTTTTTTCAAACATTACTAGTTTGATCCCTCTGGCTTGATGAATTACACTCTCTATCATTGAGAAATGGCGTCGAGCGAACGCTGAGAACCTAACCAAAAACCGTTGAAACTGAAGGCAGCTTCTCTAGCTCTAGGAAGTGCCGAATAATTCTTTCGCGCGCCCATTCGCGAGCTTCCGGATTTCACCCACCGTCGTCGGAATCAATGGTGCGATTACTTCTTTCGTCTCTTTTCGCTTGTCGCTCCTATTTCCCGTCTGTCATTTAGCGAACTGGGAACGTTCATGTTGTTAGGGTTTCACTATTTGCTCCCGAATTGATTGGTAAAGTTCAGTCTTGGAATTGCTCAACTTTCGTCCGCGTACAGTTCGAAATGATTTTGCTTTGATTGTCTTTCTCACCCTCGCCGGAATCAAATGTATGGGAGAGAGACTGCGGCGGCTGTAGCTCAGTTGGTTGCTATTGAATCAATTAGAAGTCTTAGTTTTGTGCTCTACTTTACTCGTTAGGCTGATCCGGAGCTGGAAGCGATCAGGCAGAGAAGGATGGCTGAGCTAATGGCTCAGCGTGGCGGTGGTGGTGGAGCGGTAATTATTTGCTCGCTCTGGTCATTTTCTTGTGTGTTTTCATAAATGTTTCATTTGGAGGTGAATTGCTGATTGGAAGTAACCTTACTAAACAGACTAGTCAGCCGGACCCTGAACAGCAGAATGCTCAAGAAGATGCTAAGAGGTTCTCTATGTCTTTCTCTAGATAGTGTCCATTAACTGCTAATTCGCCAGTGATTACTCGTGTTTTAGTGTATACACAATCCTGGGTTTTGAATGTCATCTGAATTGTTCATTTGCTGGTTCAGGGAAGCTGACGAGCGTAGGCAGATGATGTTGAGTCAGATATTGTCTGCTCAAGCTCGAGAAAGAAGTAAGTAATGCAGGTTGCAACTTGTGAATTTTCAAACCTGTTAAATTCATACATACCAATTCATTGGTGGTAAAGGGTTATTGTTGGTTTCAGCATTGTGTGTTTTTTTCTTAAGAAAGCAGGATTCAGTCAGTGTGCTTGATTCTATATGTGACCCTAAAGCTGCTGCCTCTTGTGTAGTTGCCAGAATTGCACTAGTCAAGCCTGAGAAAGCTAGAGGTGTTGAAGACGTTATACTTCGAGCGGCTCAAATGGGTCAGATAGTTGAGAAGGTATATGCTATAGCTGTGTCCACAACAATGGTTACTAGGCAGTTAGTAATTTTTTTCAGCATTTGTTAACCCTAACCCTGTTTGCAGGTGTCGGAGGAGAGGCTGATTTCACTGCTAGAACAGATAAACACCCAAACAACGAAACAAACCAAAGTCACGGTAAGTCATTAGCGTGTTGCTCATGTGCTATGTAAAGAACCCTCATTGGGATATGGTATGACATGAACTGACATGTTTTTAATTTGTCAGATCCAGAGACGTCGTAGCGTTCTAGACGATGATGACTGAAGTTTGAAGATCTCGCTGGGTTGTTTCCCAGGATCCATGTATACAGTGTGTTTCCGTGAGTTTGCAGATACATGATCAATTGCAAGTTGTGAGACAAGTCATATCTGTATTTTGCCATGCAACAACTACACATTCTTCAGTCTTCCCATTTGATGTAATGTATGACGTTATTTCTAATGGTATTTGCAGCCATGAACGACTTTCAGATTTTGATTTTGTGTATCAGTAAATTGATGATGTTTGTTCTCATTGCATTTTTTTTTTACTCATTGCATGTTATTGATTTGCAGTATAGTTCAAAAACGTTGTTGGTACACTTGCTACTTTTTCATTATCACGCTATTCGAAATAATAGTTGATAATATTTGAAATAATAGTTGATTTTTGATAATATTCACACAACGTAATAAATTCTTTCAGTATTCACATAATATGGTTGACAATTGACATGTTCCTCAACATGAATATTAATATTGTCTAGAATGAATATCCGAAACATGTGATGTGAATATTGAAACTATTTTATGTGAATATAGTAAATTTTTATCTTAAAAAATATGATAATTTTTTATATTTATTTTATTAGATTTAGAATTGTTCATAGCAAAATTTATTTAAAAAAATGGGTAATTAATACAAATATTGTAATTTTTTAATTTATCACAAAGATGGTGGTTTTAAAAGTATTTACACTAATATTGTGTATTTGTGTAGATGAAAAAGCGCGTCCGCCCGAGATTCAGGCGGGAATGCTTTTTGATTTTTTTAGTCCAAACAGAGCGTACCCACCCGAGTCAAAGGTGGTGGCGCGCGAGACTCAAGCTGCCCCGCATTCCCTCTTTTTTTACTCCGCCTTCCACACATCTCTTATCTTCGTCTTCCTCCTCTTTTTCAGCAACCACAACCACACCCACCTGCCTTCCTCTTCTCGCACGATCCGATCCCAAGCGCCCACGCCTGAGGCAAAGGCGGTCTCGCCACCGCCTCAAGCAGACACGCCGGAGACAGAGGCGGCCACGCCCGAGTCCTAAGTGACCCCGCCATATTTTCTTCTTCCTCATGCTTGCGCCTGGTTTTTTGATTTGTGGGAAAAGGGAAGGAGATGTCTGACGACGAGGAAGCCGACAGAGGAAGGGGGAGAGGGCGGCGAGGTCGTGGCGGTGGTGGCCGATATGTGATGAGCAACTCGCTGTCGGAACCGGATTATCGCTGGCTACGACTTTTTTTTTATTGAGTTTTTATGGTTTGATTATTATTTTTTTGTTTTTTAGTTCCTAGGCTTATGGACCGTTATTCCATGAGACCACCACCTGCGACAATTGATCCAGCTCCGATCGATTCGGTACTTTTTTGGGGGCATCGTCAACATCGTGTCGACTTATTTTGGGCAAACGATGTAAGTCTTTCATAACAACTACTTCTTTAAAGTTCATTAGCTATTTAGATTAGACTATTATAGATTTTTACTTAGTGAACTGAACTGGAATTAGAATAGAATTACGTATGAATTTTTTTAAAATTAGTATAAGTTTAGATTAAATACAGTTTTAGATTAGATAGATTTTACTAGGTGGAATTAGAATCACACATGAAATTGAATTCATATAAGTTTTGTGCACTATAGGTTGGTGATCGACCTTACCATGTTTGAAGTACGACCAATTTAGTCACGTACCATGCACATTATCAGACGTATCTCGGAGAGGCGGGCTTGTCTAGTGTTCTGCCCCTGGTCCCTATGAATGCAGATGCAAGTTTGATTACTGCGCTTGTAGAGCGTTGGCGACCCGAGACGTCGACCTTCCACTTGCTGTTTGGTGAGGTTACGATCACTTTAGAGGACGTTGTGACACTAACTGGTCTAGCGATCGACGGTGATGCCGTCGTAGTAGACATACCAGATGAGGAGTGGTCGGATATCTGTGTGAGACTGTTAGGACGGGTTCCTGATTATTTTTCCGACGGTGTCGTTAGGATTCATTGGCTGAGGGATGAATTCAGTCATCTCCAGAAAAATGCTTCACATGAGACTACATAGCAGTTTGCACGAGCTTGTGCTCTATCTCTGATGGGAGGTGTACTGTTCCCGGATCGGTATGGAGCTACGGTGCAACAACAATACCTACTTTTGGTGGAGGATTGGCAGAGAGCTAGACGGTAAGCCTGGGGAGCAGCTGTTTTAGCCTACCTGTACCGTGAGATGGGCAGGTCGGTTTTGCACATTACACATTCCTCCTCAACCTAGGAGGTGACCTTGTTGGATGGGTCCCCTTACAGCAACTTTAGGCGTGGGAGCGATTTCCACATCTGACACCGCGACATATAGAGACGAGGGCGCAGATTGACGAGGATGCATTCCCACGTGGTGTTCCATGGCTTCCGGCCAACTCTCGTCAGTACGATGACCAATTATTCTAGTACAAGTTGTGGTTTGACGAGATGGAGACCATGGTGGTTAGTATATAACATTTCGTTTTATAGAATATTTTTCATTGGCTTGTTTTAGATTTAGGAGTAATCATGTGACCACTTTTTGTCTGTAGTGGCAACCTTACGTTGAGAGAGCACAGCATCTCATAGGTATTGTGATCCAGTTTGAGACGTTTCGAGCCTTAGTTCCACTGATCTGACTTTCAGCTGTGATGTGACACCATCCAAACCGCGTGCTCCGCCAGTTTGGCATGAGGCAGGATGACCCTCATCCGTCACATAGTGAGGCCGAGGTTAGGTTTTTCTTTCGCCAGCATACACATGGGCCATCGCGTGGGCATCAGTTGGTACACGCCTCCGGAGAGTCGATTGCTCTTTAGAACCATCGATATGAGTTCATAGCGAGGATGCCATTCAACCTATTACCACTACTTCCTCTTTTACCACCTCTCGCACATCGTTGGCCACCACTTCCTCTTCGTTGGCTCCCACTCCCACTTGCTTGGCCACCACAAGTTGATGCATCATTTCTAGATTGGTTAAAGATCCTACACACTTGTTGCGCTACACCCTCTCTTGGTCAATCCATCTCGTTATGAATTCTTGTTGATCGTGGTCTCTCCGGCTTCCTAATCATGTGCACTTAGGATGGAGAGTAGGGCCATCATGCTTCTTCCAACCCTTAGGTTCACCAAGAGGTGTGAAACTTGTCCCATAACAAGCCAACACTATTTCAAGCTTGTAGATGTCCTTTACAAACCTATACGGGTTAGCCCCCATTCGGTTGCAAGCTGCAATGCATGAGAGTGGTAGATATCTAATCTATTTCTATGATAAACTACAAAGAAAACTAATAACTTTAGGGTTTATTCTTCACATAATCGGCCGAATGACATAACAAGGGTTTATATAGATATCTAACCCTAATCGACTAATGGCAATAACGTAAATAACAATAATTAGATAAATATGGTAAAAGCGTATATGCATATACGCAACAATCTCCTCCCCTTCAGCATAACCTTGTCCCCAAGGTTAATCTCATCCGTCATCCGGGAAATCGCCAACCATCAAAAATAGCTCCTGACCAGCGCAACGATGTCCAATCGTGAATCGCTCGTCGCAGTTGATGCATAGTCCATCTCTGCGACGTCGTGCGATCTCTGCTGGAGTACGCTTTATGGTTCCGAACGGAACCTGGGGTGGTGCCAGCACTGGTGCAGCCACGTTCCCTGCCGCCGGTGCCTCCAACTAGGGATGGCAATCATACCCACCGCCGCGGGTACCCGACCGCCTCCGACCCAGTCAACGCGGGGAATCCCCGCTTTGACTGGGTATGGGGCGGGTATGGGTAAAACCCGCGAAGAATCTGATGGGTATGGGGCGGGTATGGTTTTAGGTGCCCCCGCCCCATACCCAACCCGTCAGCCTTATTTGTTATATGCTAAAAATACAAGTACCTGTTTGTAAATTGTTAATGACCTAAAGGGTGAATAAAATAAATATAGATGACTAAAATATAATTTATCATATCAAAACCCTAAAGGAAACATCAGCTCATTCCATTGATCCATTCTAATTTCTCCAGCCGCAGCCGCTCATTCTCCCAATTCCCAAATTCTTTGCTGCTGCTCGTCGTTCGTCGACTCCCGCAGCCGGCCAGCAAGTCCCACAATCGATTCCTCCAACAGCCTCCGCCGCCGGTTCTGAATCGGGATTCCGTCGAAGTCGCCGTCGTCGGTGGCCGCTCCATCTCCTCCTTCACGAGGCCGCACTTCACGTCGGCGAGCCCCAGGCCACAATCGATTTCCCTGGCTCCACGCACAGCTCCACGCACAGCTGCACGTTTCTTCCTCTTGACAGCTCCACGCACAGCTCCACGCCGCCAGCTCCACGCAAAGGTCAGCCTCGTTTCTTCCTTTGGGCAATATATTTTCATTGATTCCCAGACCAAAACCAAGTCCCCAGACCGACCAATCGATATAATATAATAGAAAGAACGGTATCTTAATTCTTACCATCGATATGACTCAATTCTTGACAAAAATTGCTATGACTCAATTCTTACCATCGATACACCTAAGTAGAGACCATTCCTAAATGGTTAGGGAACTGCTTTCAGAACCCATTGCTCAAAATTAGACCGAACGGTATCTTTATAGAAGAGTGGCAATGCTCCAAGGTTTGGATTTCCTTCACTCATTTTTACTGCAGCAACTCGCGATTTCCTTCACTCATTTTTACATAACAATTGGTTTGGTTTTTAATTCTTTCAGGAAGTCGGCTGCTTATCTGCTAGATGGCTAGCAACTCTTCACAATCTGATGCAATATCACCTGCAACCATGGAGCAAAATTCAACTACTGCTACCCCCCAAACAGCTTCTATACCAACAACGAATTCAACCCCCCTTGTTGTTCCTTCTGTTGATAATGCTGCCAACAATCCTCCTACTAACCAAGGTGATGTTGTAATGAGTGAAGGAACTAATAGTGATTTGCCTAGTAATAGGTTTACGAGTGATGCTTGGAAACACTTTACAAGGTATCAAGAAGGTGAAGAGATAAAAGCTAAATGTCATTATTGCAAGAAATCTCTGAAGGCAGGTTCAAAAAATGGTACTAGTCATCTCCTTGAGCATTATAAAAGATACCATAAGTTGAATAAGGATACTAGACAGCCATTGTTAGTGAAGAATGTGACGGGTCAAATGTATCAGAAGTCACTTGGCAACTTCAATGAGGAAGAGGCACGTAAGGCTTTGGCTTCCATGATTGTGGTGCATGAGCATCCTCTTGCTATAGTGGATCATTTCTTCTTTAGGAAGCTATTGTGTATTCTTCAACCATTGTTCAAGTGTCCAACTCGAAACACTATCAAGAGCGACATCTTGAAACTGTTTAAGAGTGAGAAGACAGATTTGAAGAAGTTGATTGCAACTAATGATAGTCGTGTTGCAATTACTAGTGATATGTGGACTGCAAGCAATCAAAAAAAGGGATACATGGCAGTTACAACTCATTTCATTGATGCATCATGGAAGATTAGATGTTTTATTATTAGGTATGTTTTATTTCTCAAATTAAGTTTATTTCAAATGCTAAGAAAATATTTACAATACTAATTTTTTCCCTTTTAATTTTTGCTAGGTTCTGCTATGTCCCATGTCCACACACTAGTGAGGTTCTTGCACAGGCAATCTACAAGATTTTGATGGAGTGGAACTTGGACAGAAAGTTATCTACTGTAACTTTGGATAACTGCTCAACTAATGATCTTCTTATGGAGCTGCTAAAAGATAAGTTGAATCCTCGCCATTTACTGAGATCTGGATCTTTGCTGCATACGAGGTGTTGTGCACATGTGTTGAATTTGATTGTGAAGGATGGTCTTGATGTGATTAAGAAAAGTGTAGAGAATGTACGTGAAAGTGTATCTTTCTGGACTGCAACACCTAAACGGCTTGAAAAGTTTGAAAAAGCAGCAAGTCAATTGCCTATCAATTTTGACAAGAAGTTGTGTCTTGATTGTCCAACTAGGTGGAACTCCACTTACTTAATGCTTAAAACTGCATTGGAGTATAAGGATGTTTTTCCTAGATTGAAACATAGGGATGCAAAGTATAAGAAGGTGCCTAGTGAGGGTGATTGGTCTTTTGCCAAAGAAGTTTGTCTGAAGTTGCAATTGTTTTATGAGGTGACCGAGTTGTTCTCAGGATCACAATACCCTACTGCCAACTTGTTTTTTCACAAGATTTGTGATATCAAAGTAGGTTTATCAAAGTGGGCATCAAGTGATGATCCTTTTGTGTCTGAGATGGCTGCAAAGATGGTTGAAAAGTTTGATAAATATTGGGGTGCAAGTCATGGTATCTTGAGTGTGGCTGCTGTTCTTGATCCACGATACAAAATGACATTGTTGAACTTTTACTATCCAATGGTATTTGGGTCCAAATCTAGTGATGAAATCAAAAAAGTACGTGACTTGCTAGCTGATTTAGTCCATGACTATCAAATGAGGGTTGATGCAAGTAAAGAGGGTTCTGGTTGTTCACTTGCTGGTTCTACTTCGGATGGAGCAAGTGCAGGGAGGATGAGTGAGTATGACTTGTTTGTGGAACAACTTCTTTCACAAAGTCCGGGTGGCAAGAGCGAGTTGGATTCTTATCTTGAGGAGAAAGTTCTGCACAGAAGTCCTGATTTTGATATCTTGATTTGGTGGAAAGCAAATGCATCTAAGTATCCTACATTGGCTTTGATTGCAAGAGATGTGCTTGCTATTCCCGTGTCTACAGTTGCTTCTGAATCTGCATTTAGTGCTGGTGGTAGATTGATTAGCTCTCAGCGAAGTAGACTTCATACAAAAACAGTTGAAGCTCTTATGTGCACTCAAAGTTGGCTATTGAACCATATTGATGAGAAAGGTAATTTCACACTACTTATTATAAGGTCTCTTAATATCGTTACTATTGTTTCCATTCATTTCAATAAATGTTTTCTATTTTGTAGAGGATCTTTCTGAACTACCTTCAGACAGTTTGGCTACTGTTAATGAAGACGAGGATCCGGCTTTGATTGGAGCCTTATCTGGTAATGTTTCAAGATGTGTATTGCCTATTTACATAATGTGACTTGAAGTGCATCTAAATCTATTTCGTTTTGTTGTAGGTCTTGCACTTGATTCAGATGATGATTCTGAAGATGAATGATGTCCAAATTTGTCTCGACTCTTGAGTTTAAAGTATGACCACATAAGGACTATTTCTTAGTGCTTTGTTTTCAATTACTCTTTTCATGTGTCTAATGCTTGATGATTTATTTTGTGTTTGTAGGTATGGAGAAATGAAGAAGGGATTTATGTAATGCTTTTGGGAGAGGCAATGCGACTTTGTGTGTTTGAACTTTGAAGTAGTCTAGTAGACTTTGATCTTTTAGAGACAATTAAACAAAGGATTGGATGTTTTTTCGTATTAAGAACGATTGTACCTTGTTGATTTCATGATTTATTTGGTTGTTTTAGTGTTATAATTGAAGAATGCATGTTGTTTATTAGGTGTAGAAGTAATGCATACATGGGGATGGGTATTACCCATGGGTACCCGAAACCCGCGGGTATGGGGATGGGTATGCAAATCCTCCACCCGCATGGGTATGGGGCGGGGATGGGTATGGGTATATGGAAATGGGGATGGGGATGGTTTAGGCAAACCCGCCCCAAACCCGCCCCATTGCCATCCCTACCTCCAACCCAAGCCGAATATCCTCCAACTCCTCCTCCCTTCCCTTTGCTAATCGAAATGCCTCTCGCAGCGATTGAGGTTGAAACTGACGAACTCCACTAGCTATTGCTGGTTTTAAGCCTTCCAAATAAGCATTAATTAGAGTACTAACAAGCCAGCCTCTGCAGCGATACGCCAACTTCTCGAACTCTAGCCTATGCTTGTCAACCGACCCCGTCTGTCTAAGCTTCATAAGGTTCTCTTCGCTCGCTCCCCTACCAGCTGGTTCGAACCTTGACCACAACTCTTCCTTAAAACGTTCCCACGTCACCACTTCCTCAGAAGTCTCCATGGTGTACTCGAGCCACTGCCACCACTGTCCAGCATTGCCTTCCAAGTAAAATGCAGCCCAGGGAACCTTCTGTTCTTCCGATATTCCTTGATACTTGAAGAATTTTTTAGCTCGAGAAATCCAAACAGTTGCATTGTCTTGGCCGTTAAATTTTGGAAATTCAAGTTGTGGCGGTCTTGCGCGAAAGGCTCCCAAAACCCCATCTCCTCCTGCTCCCCTGAATACCTCGAACCCACCCTGAACTGGAGCTCACAAAGCTGTACCTGAATTACCCGGAATTGGTCTGACCTGCTGCTTGAAATGAACCGGTTCAGTCCAATCTTGATCCGCCCGGTTTGCTTCCCATGCCAAACCAGACCCATGACCTACTCCATTATTCCCCCTGCAAATTGCGTTGGCCCCCAAGGAATGGGCCCAAAATGGTGGGGATTTTCATTATATGGCCCAAAATTGACGGAAGCTCCACCATGCTCCCTGCCGCCTAGAAGGAACTTCTCCCCCTTGCCTTCCGCACGATACCCGCCACCATGGAGCCCCGCAATCGGCGCCGCAACAGAATCCCTGAAGCCGCCATCGAGCTGAACCTCTGATGCCATTGTTGCTGAGAAAGACGCTAAGAACGACGCACCCCCAGCACCCCCAAATGCCCCTTTCCCGGTAGCCTCGCCCAAGGGAAGAAACCCAGCCGGCGGAGTCGACACCACCATTGACGCCGCTCTCGATCCGCTGCTTTGCTTCCTGGTCGGCGACTCGTTGGCCATCGCTGGGATAGCGACTGCCTTTGCCTTCTCCTGTCGCCCCAACACGTTGTTTGGAAATATTGATTCCAAAGCGAGTATGATGAAGAAGAAGAAGCTCTGCAGAAGTGAAGAACGAAGAGCAGAGTTGAGAAAGAAGAAACCTCACCCAGAAACGTTTCGTTTCTGGGTTCCCTCCACTCAGCGTTTAAATGAAGAAGCAAAGCGACGACGTAGTGGAGCTTCAGAGTTTTACCGTTGGGTGGACTTACCGTGGCAAACGAGAGATGGATACGTGCTGTTTTACCATTTAGCATTTTCGAATTTCTGTTTTGTATTTCCGTTTTTACTGTTTCGTGAAGAACACATTTCAGCTTTGGTATAAATAGAAGGGTTAATACCCTAATTTGGCCCGAAGTTTAGCGTAAATGTCAGTTTTGGCCCGACTTTTCTAATAAGACATTTGTGGCCTACTTTGCAAAGTATTGGACAAATTTGGCCTGAAACTTATGTTGACTGTTAAAACTAACGGTCAACTAGTTTTCCATTAGTGACTCAGCATCAAAATGTTGTGGTGAATCACATGTGGTTGCCACATCATTTATTTAAATTATAAAAATAAAAAACCAAAAACTTAAAAAAAATCTAAAATACACTTTCCAATCTCCACCTAACTCCCTCCCTTCACAAGTAAATCACAACTCAATTCACTCCCCGCCACCCAAAAATAATCCCTAACAATCATCGAAACCCTACCCTCGCTACCCATCTCGCCACCAATCCCATCATTCAGCTACCCGAGCTCCATCTCCCCTACCGTTCTTTT